TGACTGTGTTTAATTAGGCCTATTTACGTTTACATTTTATATTGACGATCTATAATCTCCAATGAAAACAATCAGAAAGGTTGTCCTCAGCAATTTTATGGTAACAACTTACACGTACATATACATTTAGCAACTTGAATTAAACATGTTTGGCAACTGTTGAATGAAACTCTCAAACCCAACTTAACTCTCATTGGGTTTGAGAGTTGTTCCAATATTGTTTGACTGTTTACTTTTACCTGTTACCAATGATTGAATTGATCACTTTCCAGCTTCTGAAAAGTCTCTTGGACCACCCAATGAAGCCATCTGTCACTTTCTTTTTAACATATCCATCCATTGACCCTCCATCCCAGTGATCCAAGCCACAACAGCATAGCAGAGGACTATAGGGGGAGGAGAAACTGATTCAAAGGCAATGCACCTCAATCAGTAAGCCCCAGGGAGCTCTGATTGGGTTTTATGTCACTATATCTTTGGTTGAATGAGGGACTTCCTAAACTGAGAAAGACCTTAACAAACATTCAGGTCTATGGGTCACTAAATGCTCACATCTTAAGCAGCAAATACTTCTTTTTCTCATTGTAATTAGGAGCTGACCCAGTGCACTCCGCTGGTCAAGACTCTGGAGAACTGACAGTGCAACAGGTCCAGCCATTGTGTCACTGACAAGAGGAGACAAGTACGAACGAAGCTCCCGATAAACACAAATAAATGCTTTTTAAATTGGAATTTCCAGTACATGCTTGCTGTAACCTTCTGTGTTTGATTCTAGCTTTGGTGTTTGGAAGCTTAATGTAAAATGCATTATGAACATTTCACATATATTGAATACGTACCAACATGTCAATTGTATTATATGTGTATGTCTTCAAATCAATATCCAAACATATGGGCTTCTAATGATTCCTGACTGAATTAGTATTAGTATGTTTAATCAGTGCTTTGAGCATTGGGTGGCAGCTCTCTTTGCCACCCCCCGACACTGAAATGGACTAATAAAGGGGTTGAAAATCAATGAATGAATGTTTAATCTAATCTCAGTAACAAGACAAATTGAAACCAGACACAATATTGTAGTCCTATAAAGCTTAATGGGACCAGAAATGTCTGTATGCATTAAAGGAATTTAATGAGCTTGTGCATGTTACACAATTTACAAATCACATAAGTATGTGTTGTACACATATTGCATATTTAATTGTTTTAGGCATACTGGAAATCATGTTCTTGTTTCAGTGAGAGGTAAGAACGGTCTAATAGGTATTCCTTCCCTCTTTACATATTCAAAAGGTGGGCGTGTTTTGCATCGCTAATAAACAGCAAGAAGCGGCCCACTCAAAAGAATGAACGACGTCTCCAATCCTCCCCTCCGGCCACACTAAAACACATCCACTACATAGCAAGCACAAAAATGTAACTTAAAACTTCTAAATCATAGCATATGTACAATAAAACTAAACAACCCTCCATTGGGAAGACATCCACAAAAGTTAAAAGCAGTGGTTACAGACGCATAACATCACGAGTGCATAGTCACGTTATGGAAAAGTAAAAACAAATGAGTTTTACGCACTGGCATGGTACCTTTACGCACACTTATATGTCATTATGAGGACACATGCATTCATACACGAGTCATTTTGAGAATAGATACGAACTAAATGGATAGTTTTACAAACGTAAATATAAGCATGTAAGAATAGATAGCCAAGACTTACCTCTTGCGCATAGGTGGAGGCGATCAGGAATACCACTACGCAGACTCTGGAAAAGAAATTAAAATGTCGTTAGTGTGGTGACAAGTCTCGGGATTACAGACCGGAGCAGCAGGTAAAGTGCACCGGGATAAAGCACACGCTGTGGTCCATGGAGAGGCTGTACGCGCACTTCGCAACGCGTAAAACTACCCCAACCCGGAGTGAAGTGAAGCAAATACTTACAGGACTTTCATGTTGCTCGGTTTCGACAGGGTACCGCAGAAACTACACTTGCTGCTCCCGTGTCTTCACCACCGAGTCCCCGCTTCACTCGCGCTCATCGACGGCTGCTCCAAAATCCTTCTCAACTGGAAGTCACACACACGAGCGCGCACGTAAAGCAGACGCAAGGCAAGCTCAAAATGAGATTTTTTTGAAAGTGGAAAGTTAAGAAAGTGCGCAAATCAGAACGTGTACAACTCACCAAAAACTTGCACCCGTGGATTCGCTGCTGCTGCGCTCTCGGGCTGTTGCTGAGGCGCTTGGACTGAGCAGCGCCAGCAGAGAGCTAGGGAGGCGGGGCTACTGCGCATGTCACTCACACATCCATTAAGGCACCGGGGGCAGAGACGCACGCAGCTTCCAAACCCCTCATTCTGCGACGGGGAAGCACAAGAGGCACATCTGCGAGAAAGTTTTTAGAGGCTGTGAAATACAAGCTGTCCATTTTTACTGTCTTACTTACAATGAATGAATGAATGTATGGGTACATGATAACCCGGTCCCGTAGAGAGTCATTTTAGTAAGGTGTAGTAGATCATGGAGTTGAAATGAGTGTATTATCATGAAAAGTATACTTGCTGATTCTATACAGATACAATCTTAGTATTCCCCTTAATAAAAATGAAAATTAATAATCAACCTACTTTTAATTGTCTTGTCTGTGTAGATAGATAGATAGATAAGGAAAACAAAACCCATGGAAAAGTTAATTGTACAAGCTGACAACAGCAGGGATAAAATGTCTCCTAAAGCAATGTTATAAAGGCTATTTACTGTAGTGCTATGTTTCTTTTTTAAACAACTTATATCACTCATGCATAACTTTCTTTGGTGACAGTCCCCTCAACAACTCACAACCCAAATCTTGCATTGTCCCGGAAACATGTTTTCACTTTGTGGACTTGTTTTAGATGCAGACGTATTACACAAATGACCAGACTAAACATTTGATTTTGGTTTAACAAGAAATTGCACCCAGACAAAACAAAAAATAACTTATTCGAGAGTTCTATGCGACCGCACCTCAGATTGCCACATCAGATTTTGGATTATGGAAAGACAGAGTTGACATTGGAAACAGTATAGCGTGTGTTGGATCTATTTTAGCCCTTAGACCCAACTGAGTGTCAACACGTTAGTCACAACATGTTAATTTAGCATCAGATGGAGTTTGTTGAAATAAAGGTATGCTCTTGGCTTGAGTTTCTGGAGTTACTTTGGTGTGGAGCGCAACAAGTGCCGGACAGTCCATGAACAATTCACATTTACAGAAAAAACAGTACTGATACAATAAACTAGATTGTCAAACATGTTTCTATGAATCAAGCTAGAGACCATGACAATGGATGCATAGCAATAGCTTGTGGACTCGATAGATAGTTTTATTCTATGAAATTTTGAGGGTGAAGAATTTATGTTGTTCACAATATTGATCTGAAACAACACAGTAATAGAAATAGGAACCACGGCTCTGATTTGCACACGCCTCAGTGCAACAAAGTGATGGTCTGCTGGACAATGCTGAGGGTCATTTTACAGATTACAGTATGACAAGGTGCTTTGTTGTATAATTTGTGCCAAAAACTCTAATATTAGTGTCCTATTTGCAAAGCAGCCCTGCTGAATCCTATCTGCTTCAAGGGTAGAAAAATCAGGTAACAAGGGACGTCCACAGATTGGTGATTAGTGAACGTTTATTGGCAAAGCAAAGATACATGCCCAAACTTTGTAATGAGAAAAGAGTAGCAGTAAAAAGTGGCTATAAGTAATTTTTTCCTTCTATTCATGTGGTGACGAGTGCTTGTGTCCCATGTTCCAGCAGATGTATTCCAAACCATTTCGTTTTATAGACTAGTCCCAATTATCTGTACATTTTCTTCCAATTTGATGCCCATACAAGGTAGAAAAGGAAACTAAAATGTATAAAAACTCATATGAAAATCACAAAGAATGCATGTTTATCCGACACTAATAAGGGACTTAATACAACTTATTACTGTACAACTTTTACCATATTGTTATTACTAATCCATACAATTTGAAGTGTCTCCTAGTCTTTAATTTCTGGTTGTCCTACTGCAAGTCATAAAGCACCTTTACAAATTTATGCTGACAAAACATATAGTAACTTTGTTTCATGACTGATCAAATGTTTTTGAATTCAAAGTGATGTTTTTAGTAGAATATTAATCAACAGCTGACACGCTTGATTCATGACATACAGCTAATCTGACAATACAACTGTTATTTATGCTATGCCAATTATCTTTACAATTATCTTTCTAACAATCTCAAATTGACTTGCACCTGGTTCATTCTCATCATCTTTACTGCCAGCAGAAGCAGCATACTCGTGTCAGGAGTCAAAAGTCAAAAAGGTAGAATTTGACCTTTTAAATACAGTGGCAGGTATGCAACTTGTCCAGGCGCATAGAAAATGTTAAATAAAATGGTATATGTCAAGACTTTTTTGTGGAGCCGGAGGCGTTGAGTATAGGCTTTGTAATGGCATGCAGCGGGAAGCAACAGTATCCATCCGCGTGTGTGGGGACTATAACGCAATAAAACAGATTTGGACATGATTTGAAATGCACGTACGTTGTAAGCGTTGATATATTTATCTGGAAATAATTGCACAAGATTCTGAACTTGCATTGATTTTGGCTGTTGATAGTCCGCGGAAAGTTGCGCGTATCCTTGCGCAGCGGTGTCAGAGGGAAGTAGTTCCGTCTGGGCAGGTTTTGGAAGTCGAGGGGAGGCGGACTACAGAGGCGTTGGGTGCCAGGACCATTAGGAGCCTCCGCCAGCGCAACAACCAACGACGTGCAGCCCTTTTAGCGAAACAAGTACAGCAGCAGAAGTCCTATATCTAATCGCGTCTTTTTCACCCAGCGCCAGGGTACGCGCGCAGAGAGACGGGGCTATGTCACGTCTCTAGGTGTTCTCAGGTTGAGTTTTACGCAGGAGGATCGCAGTTTCTTTTAGGGCAAGAGGAGGAAAAGTGCCCCCCAGAGCAAGATGAGAAGCCTGAGCGGGTTGCCACAGCTCGCCACGGCTCTGGTCTTCGTCGCCTTGTGTGTAGCGGTGCAGCAGTCGGATTCTGCGGTAAGTGCGTCTTTTCTCCCGCGCTTCAATGCAATTAAAACACTCTCAAACTAATTTACTTCACTTTTAATCTCAGCCGGCTTTGCCTTGGGACATGCCCGGCCGCAAACGAAAAGTTATTAATAGGGATCTGGATTAAAACAAGTGCACATAACTCAAATTAAACTTTTACGCACGACTTTACAGCGCTTTTACGCAAATTGAATGTTCTGTTTTCCATTGTTTTCACGACTATATCCTCTTCTCTCCACCGCGCATCACGTTTCTTCCTCTTGCAACCTGTGCCAACACGCCAGGACCTCTATCCGTCCATTTAACTCTATGGAAAACTTGCAAAAACGGTGCGTAAAGTCGCTTGGTGGAGGGAATCGCGCGGCGGCTTTCCCTCACCGTATGACAGCCAAGGCATCATAGTTATAGACATGTGCAAACTATAGCTGCTGTTTATCTAATTCTATGCGCACAAAGTTACGCATAAGTTTATATATGAGTCATTCTTTGGGGTTCCGATGCGTTTCCTTCTGATATGTTCTGATTTCCATGTAGTCTATAGGTTCAGCTTTCAAAAGTATTTACTAGAAAGTTCCATTCCTCAACATTGCATTGATACTCCATTGCACCTGCCATGTATTATGCGCACATTGAGCAAGAGCGCGACTGTTTGCGCATTCTTAGACTCTCTTGTTTGACTTGGTGCCTTACGCGGTGCATGTCTGCTGTCTGCTTTCTTCATTTGCACCCCGGTGTCACGCTCGTGAAGCTATTCAAACCTCTAACTCCAGCCTAATGTAATATTACAATGAGCCTGGTGAATATTCAACCCAATTAAATATTCATGAGCTCGAGCGCCACAACACGCCCACCACATCATAGGCTGGGTTTCTCTGCACTTCTATTTCTCGGGCATTTTCTAGACATTTCCATATATTTTAAAGTTTTACAAGTTCATTTGATTTGCATGTTGCAAGCTGGAATACCTAACTTTTTGTGTCCTAAATACATTGGGGTTGTCCCAACAGAAAAAATGTCTTATTCAGGTAACTGATTCGAGTGAAGCAAACCACTACATGCAGTGCCTTTCTTATTAGAAAACGTTTTACCTCATATATCCTGGGATTTGATTGGCTGAGGGCTCTCTATTACACTGAAAAAGCTAATCTAAAGATGCGACAGAGGCAAAAAAAAAACTGGTGATAGAATCTAACTGTTTTGAGAGCAAGGAACTACCGGTAGATTTGTGGATTTTAATATGGTCTTGTGAAATCAAAGTCAGACACTCCAGCTTAAATCATAATTTTTAAACGCTTTTTCACATTTTATTTAGTAGGCATTATAGTTGATATCCATGAAATCTGAAGTTTGTTAGAGCAATTTTCTTTACCCAAATGTATTTTCTCCAATTCTGAACATTTTAGCTTATTGAGAATCCAATGGTGTTAATAGACAACTTCTTCCAGAGCGACATCTTGTGTCAAAAGTTCTAAACCGTCAGAAGTCATTGTAAGGACACCTGTTGATGGGAGATGCGTGGATCTTTTGTTGTGCTGGGAGACATTACAAGTCTTGTCTGTCTTGAGAAAGAATGGTTTCTGTGGAGACAAAAGCAAAGGAAGAGCCCGGGAATGTGGTCAACCAGATGTGGCCCTTAAAACCTCTAGAAAAGGGCAGAATACGGTCAAATACTGGGTTATAGTTAGACAATGGAACAATATTGCTTTTTGACCCATAGATTTCTCCAGATAGATGATTTCCTATATCTTTAATTTTCCTGTTCTTCTTTACTATGGCAATCTATAAGGAAAAGCCAGCCAGCAAACTACTTAACATAATTCGTATTTGTTTGTGTTTTGTCAAAATCAAGCAAGTTCAAGTCACTTCCATAATGACAGTGAGACTACAGCAAGCACTAGGTCAAATCTATTGCAGGCCTCACTCATGCCCCCTTGTGGATAAATGCCTTCCCTGTACCTTCTTGCTCTGATCAATTCATCTTACTAAATAATTTAGAAAGTGCAACATTTTAATGCCTAATGAATTAAAAGATGTAAGAAATATACAACATATTAATAACCACATTGTCTTTAGTCATTGTTTTAGCACACAATCCAAAAAACAAACATCCTCATAGTTTAACTTTCAAAACACATATTTCAGACAGTATTCATATTCATAGTTTTTTTTAGGTTTTTGCCTCCAGTAATCATGTACTGCCATTGGATTTTCTTCCCTATGCATTAATATAGTGATAGATGATTATTAAAACATACATTGGTTCTAGAGATGGGTGCTCTCCATCCATCCATTTTCTTCTGGTTCATCCGTTGCCAGGTCACGGGAGTAGCAGTCCAAGCAGAGACGCCCAGGTTTCCCTATCCACACACACTTCCCAAGCCAGCTAAGAGACATACTCCCTCCAACTTGTGGGGATCTGTTGAATTAGAATAACACTTCAATAGAAATACATTAAAAAAAGCTGGTATAACACACAAAATTATTTGTGTTGTCAAATTTACCTGTGGATAATATTTAAACCATCACAGTGAAAGGCGAGGGCACTTGAGTGAAGAATTAAAAACGCGGCTTTTACTGTTACTGCCCCATGTAACTTTTTATTCTAATTAATTTGTCACTAATTGTAATTCCAAACATTCTCAAGTTTTGTAGACAACTAGTACAAAACTTCATAGACATGTCAGTAGAAGTATACATTCTGTCATGTTTGGAGATACATACACTAGAACAAGATGGCGATAGAAATGATCGCCATCTGCTGGGTGTTTAAAGAACTGCACACACCGTTGTAAGAGATATTTGAGTATGACTACTTGTTAAGGCACAGATCTTTTAAGTTTTGGTTGGTTAAAATGTAACTTCTCTGATGGTTTAAGGAAGCTAGTATGATGTTCTTTATTTGATTGCGTTCATTAGATTTATGACTGGTGACCCCCAACAGCGAGCAAAGGATTATGGTATTCCGAAGCTAACGAATGACAAAAGCATTTCATAGTAGTCCAAATGTTTAACCTGTCATTCCTGTGCCCAGCTCCTTAGCTTTAGCCTTAGCGCGTTTTGAGTGTCTTTGTGTCTCGTTAATCCCAATAGCCCTGATACGAATCTGCTTTGGGCGCAGGTGAAAGAGTTCAGGTGTAATTTATACCTGCAGGTCCGGCCTTTGAAGTCGTCATGCCGCGCAGACCACAAACACACACTTTAATTTGATGCATGCTTCTTCTTCCCATCGACACGGAGAAAGAGGGCTCCACCTGGGATGAAGCCATGTGCCGGTGGGAGCCAATCAAGTGGGGTTAGCCGTTAGCCAAAACAACCTGACGTATTTACAATGAAACACAATAAGAGGCAAGAAAAAGTGATGGAGAGATGCGTTTTGTTTGTCCTGACTTTTCTACAGCTTAAAGGTGATGTCAGCTACTTCAATTGTATTTCATTTTTTAAAACAATCTATATTTCTGACCATGGGGCTACGGTATGTACTTGTAAGTACAGTATAATTTAACAATAACATACCTATAAAAATAGATTTGAATTGAATGCATCCAATAAGGGACCTGTGGGGGCGGGACTAACTTGTGTTTGCATTTGAAAAACATCTCTCCATCTTCACAATTTGAAAAGTAACTGACCTTCACTTTAAACAAAATTCCATAACAATAAGCTTTGAGATTTAGAATTCACTGCATAAGTTCCAAGACAACCAAAAAAATCATTATGTTTCAGTGTAGCACAGATTATAATGATGAAAATATTGCAAAACATGACAAATATATAATGTTAAATGTAATATCAAAATACTAGTAACACTTTTAAGTAGACATGAATGAACGGATTCATTCATTGGTTCAGCCCAAAGTGACAAATATTGACTTCCAGGGCTCTTTCTTACATGTATTCACAAGACAAAATGTTTTCTAATAAGATAAAGGCAGCATACTGTGGCCTGATTTTCTGAAAGACCTAAAGACTCCTTTCTGATGGGACAAACTACATTTCTGAGATCAAAAACTAACTCTATATAAGAATAAATGGGAAAAGTTATGAAGTAACTCGCAAAAAAAATCAAACTAAATATTAGTTTGCTTTTTTCTCATTGCCTTTCTTTTTTTGCAGCTATTGTTTGTTATAGGGTCACTGAATGTGGCATCAAGTTTCAGAAAGCAATTACATTTGTATTGAGAAAAGGTTATTGAGTGTGTTGAGATCAAAGTGGAAGATGATGGCTCGAAGTAACGTGCACACGACCTGCAGTGGAACATTTATTGTTTTGCATTCTTGCTTTATGAAGAGAGAAGAGCAGGTCGTAATCTGTCTACGATCGAGTTGACCCGATGTACAGATGTCTGCTCTGAAGAGAGAAAGAGTTCAAGCTGAAATCAGATTTGTCAGAGCTCCAGTCGAGATTTTTATAATATTTTTGTTTTTATTTACATATCAATTTAAGCATGAGATTAGAACTAAGCATTTCTGATTGAACAATTACATGGTATTGTTCAAAAACATGTAATAGTAGTAGTTGTAGTAGTAATTTACTACTTCGGTCATTATGAACATTAGATCTTAGGTCAAAGATCTTATACATTTTACAATAAGAATGAAACCGTGTATAATACAAATTTTAGTACTAAATAATGCCTGACCAAAAAGGGTTAAGGCTGAAATAGAGACTTATACTGCCTAACCCCTTTTACAACCTAACGTACATATAACATGTGTTTATTTTCAATGTTTAAATTAATTATCAAATCACGAACAGCACAGACCAAGTGAAAATAGGGGGAGAGGTACATTTCCCCACTGTGGGACGAATAAAGGAATTATTATCTTATCTTTTGGCACAGCTGAAGCAGTTTTTTAGTTTATGAATGGAACCTACTTCTATCAACCAAATCTCATCAACAAACAAGATATGGCACTCGTAACATCTTCATGTCGATGTATTTCTTGTTAAAAGCAAGATTTTTATTCACAAACATTTCATTATTCCC